TCAGCCAAAATCATGGTGATTTCCCGCTGCCAAACGATTTTGTGCTGCCTGGCTGGGTTTGGTAAAGGTGACACTCTGGCCTTGTGCCTTTTTTCCTCTTTGTCCATTTCCCTTAGCTGTTTAGATTAACTGTTTGAAGTATAATGTTTCCAGTTCTAAACTTAAAAATCACATCCAGAGACCTTCAGAGATAACTGTGTAAGGATTTAGAGGGCCAGAGGCTGGATGCTCCTGGGACCTCTGGAATATTGTTTCCATAGGAAAGCCAGAAATCTTAGCTGAAAACATTTTGCAAAAATGAGACTGAGCTGAGATACTAAGTAGAACTACTGTGTGTGCCCCTGTAGCCATTGCTGATGGCTTCTGTTCTTTTAGGTTTTCTGCTTTATTTTCTTGTCTCTACAGCCCTTGTCAAATGCTATTTCAATGAGTCTAGTCTTACTGACTATAAACATTACAGTATAATTTGGAAACAAAAGGAGGTAATCAGTTCCTCAGCATGTTCAGCTTTTTGACAGCCTGTTTGACCTGGGGCTTTTGGGGTCTTGACACGAGCAGTGAAAGCTGGAGTTTGCGACCTGCTCCCTGCTTCTCTTGCAGGGCTACGTGGCTTTGGATACTTACGACCCTTCGGAGTACGATCCCCTTTTCCTGAAGACGTGTACGGACTGCTGGAAGGTGGGATGGTTATTTATGTTGTGGATTTTAGAAGCACCCTTTGACCTGCATGAAGTTTAATGGTTAAAGAGGAGGTAACATTTTGTTACTGACTTGCTGCTCTGGGGCTGGTATAAAACAGCACGTCCTAGTTTTACTGGCTGAGCAAATATGGATCCCAGCTCCTTCTGCAGGAGTGTTTGAAAACGGGTGTCTCTGGGAGTGGGGTTTGGAGAGTAAACACAGGCTGGAAGGCACAGGAGGCAGTGGGAGCAGGTTTGTTTTCCTGAGCTCACATTCAGTGGGGTCTTGTGGGAAGCCTCCTGTCTAAGGAGGGTTGGCTGCCTGACAAAGTGCTTATGTAGCAGGCAGTAATTCTCTCTGTCACAGGTTTCAATACCAGCTTTACAGGATCCACTGTTAAAAGACATGCAGAGAAACCTTACTGAGAAAGGCATCATCAAGCAGTGTGAAACAGGTATCAAGATCATCAGGAATGCTTTTTTTGGAAGCACTTCATAGCGAGGGCCATCCTTGCTTGTGACAGTAGTTGCTCACTCTGTGCAGCTATTATTTTCCTCTCAGGAAGGCGCTGTTCATCCAGAGACCTGAGTGACCTCCGCAGAGCAGAACTGCCGCTGCTTCCCTTAAGCCGCCAACACGTGGATGCAACCAGGTGGCTGAAGATCCTCCAGGCCTACATCGCCAGTGAGGTCCACCAAAGGAAGCGGTAAGAGCCAGCGTGCTTAGGGAGAGGCTGCCCAGGAGCTGCAGCACACAAGCTCTGTGCTTGGCTGCGTAGTAGAAGTGCTAAAAGTGCCAAAATTTCATGGTGACTGCGGCTTTTCACCCAAGAAAGGAGTGTTGGGGAAGGGAAAACCTTCAGGTATGGAGTGAAAAGCAGGATGTGGTAAAAGTCGAGCTTGGTGGCTAAGCTGAGCCTTGCAGTAAAGCAGCACTTGGTGAAAAGTTTCTTGCTGTTCGTGTAAAGGAGCTGCTTGTCCTCAGGTTGCTAAACAGCACCTCAGAAAGCTGTACCCAGAGCTCAAGTTCATACCAGGTTCTTCTTAGATTCAGAACACAGTAGCAGTCACACTCAAGTTCATACCAGGTTCTTCTTGGCTAGAGGGTACTTAGATTCAGAACACAGTAGCAGTCACTAACACTAAAAGGATATGGCAGAAGATAAAATAAGAAATGATGATTTCTGGGTCTGCCTGTGGGCTGAAGCAGAATGCTCAGCTGGGGTCCTTTCAGTGTCCTAGTTGCAGGTGAAGGGTGTTGAGCAGCTGCAGTGAGTTCTGGGCTCTTGTGACTCTGCAAGCACTGAACTGGCCCAGTGATGGCAACTGCTGCTCTGCTCCCCGAGCTGGGAACAGCAGAGAGCACCAGCTGGCCGGCCCCACAGGCCGAGAAGCCTTTGGGCTGGAAAGGCAGGTTCTGTTTTGTTTTGAAAGTCCCAGGGCTCTTATCCAGCCCTGCTGAAAGCTGCCTGGTTCTGCTTCTCCATACACAACATTTAAGGGAACTCCCCTTCCCCAGTGACAAGAGCATCAAAGCTGAACTGAGAGCCTGACCTTGCCCACTCTATTCCTGCTTTCCGTGCTTCCCCCCCCTGCACTTTTCTCATACAATAATTGTTTTAATGACTGTTATTGGCCCCAGGCTTCAAAGCTGTGTATTATTTAAAGCTGTTACAGGTAATGGCAGGTTTTGGGAAGAAAACTGGTCACAAAAACATGTTCCCTGGAGTGACTCAGTGGGGAAAAAGCTAACGCAGGCAGTTGTGCTGGGCTGCAATCACAGTGCTGAATGCACTAGTAATAGTTTTTATTTCTGCTTAAAGGCGCAAGGTTGTTGAGCCCCCCAAAGACAGCAGGAGCTCGGGCCACCTGTCCTCACGCAGCCATCAGTGAGAAGGTACCGTTCAAATATGTGTTAGAGCTTCTGCCAAAGCAAGTGGTAACAGACCAGTCAGTCTGGTAGTCTGCAATAAACCTAGCCCCTTAAACATGTGATTCTGAAGTATTTTTTTACACAATAGCCAAAGAAATGTAGGAGATGTTGCTCCTTTTATTTCCAGCTCTGTAACCTGTGTGGATCCAAAATAATAGTTTAGGGAACTTAATTTAAGCTCGGCCCTAGGAAGACATTGCAGAAGTTCTCTAGTTTATTATAAGCTAATGGGTGTCTTTGTATTAAAAGAGACAGAACTAATGAGAAATTCTAAGCCAC